TCTTAGAAAGCTACTGGAGAATTGCTGAGTCGTCATAAATTCTCACTTTCACTACCAAGTCTACTTTCCAACTACTGCTCCTTCTTCATTGTTTCCAACTTTTTCATTCAAATCACCAATTATCGTTGATGCATTGATTGCACGTTTGGTAAATTTCTGACTGCAAAATTTGATAAAAATCTTCCTTGTATGCATATGGATAGTATATCAGACGGATTTAGAAGAGGCCATGACACCAGGGAGATCATTGCTGATGTCAGATGGATCCTGGCTGAAAGCAAGCAATACCAAAATGTTTTACTAGTGCTTTATTGACTATGCAAAGGCATTTGATTGTGTGGATCATAACAAATTATGGCTAAGAATTAGAAAATTGGTATGTCAGAACATTCGATTGTACTCATGGGAAACCTACATCTAAATCAAGAGGCTGCTGTGTGAACAGATCAAGAGGACACTGCATGGCTTAAAATTAAGAAGGACATGGGTCAGAGTTTTATCTTTTCTCCATATTTATTTAACCTGTATGAGCAAAATCTGCTGAGAAAATTATTCGAGAAGCTGGACTCTATGAAGAAAAATGTTGCATCCAGATTGAAGGCAGACTCATCAATAACCTTCATTACTTAGATGACACAATTTTGCTTACTCAATCTTGCATACTGCAGCCTTTAATATGAATTATATCTCAATGTAAAGAAAACAAAAATCAATCGCTTCAGTGAGTTGGTTGGTTGCTGCTGCCCTGCCTCAACAGCCACTCTGGTTCCCCTGGCCCTGCCAGTCCAGTCTGGTCCCCGGGAGGATGAAGTTTGTGTGTAGAAGAGCATCTGTTCAAGAAGCATCACTCTGAGGGTGAGAAGATCCAGAGGAACTACCTGGTCCTGGTAATAGTAGAGAAGGCTCCCAACACTCAGATATATCTGGACAAAAAAAAAACCCACCTACTCGGCTTCAGACTTCTTGGTGGTATCTGTGATTGTTTTTGCTTCTGTTCCCTAAGTACCCAAGGGATTCAAACCCCCTTTATTTACCTTCTATTTGGGCATATATGGAAAAGACTGACACTGTGGAGAGGGGAAGGTACAAGGCACATCAATAAAGAGGAAACCACCAAGGTGATACAAAACCAAAGGGAACCAAACCAAATGCCAGAATCACCACTGGACCATCACAATAGCAACATCGTGAAATGATTGAGACTGTCAATGATTTCATCTTACTTGGATCCACAATCAATACATTTGGCACCAGCAGTCAGGAGATTAGGAAATGTATTGCACTGGTTAAGTATGTAGTCAGGGACCTCTCAAAATAATTGAGTAGTAATGATGCCAGTTTGGGGACTAAGTGTGCCTGACTCAGGCCACAGACTTTTTCAGTCACTTGTTATGCATCTGAGAGCTAGACAACGAGTAAGAATGACTGAAGAATTGATGGCTTTGAACTGTGGTGCTGGAGAAGAAAGAGTGCTGAATATTCCATGGACTGTCAAAATAATAGATATATTGAGAGGGTACAGTCAGAGTTCTCCCTGGAGAAAAAGACGCTGAAGCTTCGGCTCACATACTTTGGGCATGTTGCTACAAGTGGTTATACTTTGGAGAGACATCATACTTGGGAAGGTGGAGGAGAACAGAAGACCTCACCATGTGGACTGATACTGTGACTGTGGCAATGGGCTTGAGAGTGTCAGAGATTGTGAAGATTGCAGAGAGTGTTCATATTGGTTGTTCATGGGACTGCTATGAGTCATACTAGACCAGGTAGCACCTAACCACCAACTCTCAGGCAAGAGGTTTTGAGAATGACAGAAGTTCCAACAGCACCCGCAAACACTTTAGTGCATCTTATATGAGACTGAGATTAGTTGTTACAGGCCAAATGGATTGATTCAATCCACACCTATGAGTCTGTCTCACCAGGGTGGGGACTGAATCACTGGCTGCATCTTGAAAAGTTTCAGGACAGGTTAATCACTATGTGTGAGATTGGTGGGGAATCAAGAACAGTTTCTGTGACCAAGTCTCAAAGTAAGTTACTGGGACTTCCAGTGTGAAGCGTTTTCATTAAGGGGATTGAGACAGAAAAGAGTTTTTAGGAGAGGCCATAATTGGGGCAAAAGTCACCCATTCAGGAGCTCTACTTTCCCTGGCAAACATGACAGAGTCTGGAATATACAGTAAAAGCCAGTTGTCTTTACTGTATTGAGTGCATGATACAAATAGTTTACAACAACTTCTAGCATTTTCTTAACCATTTGATAAAAAGTTCACTATAATATTTATTGTATAATGAAGATAAAACAACACATTCAGGGAAAATTGAGATTAACTTATTTTTCTTAAAAGGTTCATCTCAAGGATGGCAACAAAGTCCAGCTTGTGCCGCCAAACGGTTTTACATGATCAAACCGTGTACAGCTTCTTGTGTGAACTGTTGACTACAAACATTTACCAAATACATAAATCTCCTTTAAAAAAGCCATTTTAAATATAGCAAAGCAGTGTCTTCTTGCACAGCAAAGTGAAAAAAGGTTCTACAGAGAAATAAAAGTTATACATTTGTGTAATCTTTTCACACTCTAATCATCTAGCTTCTCATAACCTGATGCCAGGAGTTTTCAGGTTCCTTATTTACTATGTATTTCTTGTGCGCATGATGGTTAATACAGAAAGTATGTTAATGCATTATTAGTTGACCTTATAGTTAAAGAAAATAGTAAAACATATATTGCTCATTTAGAACAAACCCGATTTAGTCTGTAACACAATGGACTGGGATTTAGGTTGGGACCATTTGGATACGTACAATGGTGGCTTTCCTTTCAACGTAATACCAGTTAAGAGTGCAGAAATAAGTACAGCTGCTGGAAACTGTACTTTAATTAGTGCAATTTATTAGAAATAATTTTTGTTTTCAGTAATAATGTACTTCATTTGAAGGCTGCAATGGTGTCTATACAAAACACATGAATCTAAACAACAGCAGCAACTAATTGCCATCGATTTGGAACCAACTAAGAGTCGAACAGACCGCTCATCTTTCTCCAGTGGAGCAGCAGCTGGTGGATTTGAACTGCCTTCCTTTGAGCTGGCAGCACAACTCCTTAACCTCTAGGCCATCAGAGCTCCCTGAATGAATCTATAAGCTCCATTAATCTAAAAGGTAAGAAAAGCAGGTTCCAAAGTTAGTATCATTAGTGTGTTCTTCACTCTAAATTGGTTTCCACCAAGAGATATGTGTGTATGTGTGTGTGTGGACATGAGTTTCTGGTGAAGGATATCTTTGTCAAGTCCATGTGCTCCAAATCACATTGGGCACATGGTGAAAAGGTTAACAGTCACATTCAGTTCCTGAAAACGGAATAAATTGTTACTTGGTCAGTGTAATTTAAATACAAACTTCTAGCCTTATGTAATATTATTTTAGAAAACAGTAGTACAAATTATAAACCTGCATAGAAAGAAATACTATTGAGATACAGTCAGAAAAGCCATCTCATAAGGCACACAAGAAAATAGACAGTAAATGTGAATGTGTTAACTCCTATCCAATGTACAGTAGAAGTTCATGAACATGCATAAATAATGATGAAAGAATCATTTAACACTTTCAAAGCTAGAAATGGTTTACAAAGTGGTAAGGATTATCTTGGAAATTCAGTATTGGGAGACTTGTTTCAATTAGGCGTGACCTTATGAATGAAGTGCCTGTAAATAGTTCAGTAAAAAACACACTTTTAAAGGAAAAACAATTTTTTTCTGAGTAAGAACCAAATGTCTATATTGGAGAGGAGGGGAGCATTAGTCTCCCCTTATTGGCCTCTACAGGAATTTACCATCCAATCTTCCATTAAAATAAAATCTAAAACTTCCAACCTGTAAATGAAGCGGGTATACCCTGTACCCAACATATACACATGCCAGCCAGATAATACAGCTGATGGTTTGTCACAAACAGCATATGAGGAAAATGGCAACAGAAAGTAATTTAAGGAAGAAAGCAAAATGTAAGTAAAAATTGTAGGTAGCTGCTCAATATTAAGTTTAAAATATAAAATAGCATTTTAAAAACCCTTATTTTTTTTAGTTTCTCAGGAAAAGGAGTAATTGAAAGCTAATATATACAGGATTCTGAATTTTTATTTGTGGCACAAGCCCAGTAAACAAGGAACTAGCTATTACGAATATGCTGTTTTCCTATAAGAATAAGGCTCTACTAATTTCAATTAAGATGACAAGAACCATGAAAAGGATCTGCACCATAAAAGAATTTCTCCCCCCACACCAAAAGTGCCATTTCAATGCACTAAATTATTAACAACGTAACATACTGTAAAAAGCTGCATCATTCTATTTTCAGAGGGTCAAAGAAAAAAAAAATAAATCCCTTCCTCAATGACCACTTCTAATCATTTACCACTTATAAAACCTTTGTGCTCATCTAATTGTTTGTAATTTTCTCTAATATTAATTAAAGTAGGTCAGCTTTTGTCACTATATTTTTGTCTTCACAAAAGGCAAACTTTAAATAATGCCTTATAAAATCCTTTACAACACATTTTATATTTATGTAGGATGAACTTAACACCAATTTTTTGCCACAATGCTATTTATGTACATACATATAAAATCTATAATGATGCTCAACCCATACAGCACAAAGATTACAATGTAACATTACACATTCACCACCAGTGAGGAGAGAAACCCTTGTATACAGTCCTCTGAAAAAGATGGGTTAATAATTAAAATTCAATGTAGACAATATTTAACAAATTAATGAATATTAAACAGTGACTACTACTTAATAAGAACCTTGCCCCCCCCCAATTTGGTGGCAATCCACAAAAATATATTTTTTTAATCTGATGACCATACAATACATAGGTACTTACATCAAACGTGGTAATATATTTAAGATGCTATATACACAGTTTGGCTCAACTTTTAATTTACATAGAGAATAATAAGTGTTCATGGCTTTTTTTTTCCAAGGTTCTGCTTGTAAGATATTTTTGTCCCCCCCCACCTTTGTAAAAGAAAACAAAACTGGCTAAAACAAGATAAAGCTATTCTTTTTTTTTTTTTAAAAAAAAGTAAAAATACAACATACAGCTTTGGCTTATATAAATAATTCATAGGAGAATGTGTTCAAATGTAGTGAATATATTTTTATATATAATTATCAATTCATAAGGATGTTTTGTTTCATATAAAATATACATGAGCTAAAATCAGTTTAATTTTTAAGATATGAATGTAAAAAGAAACTTCTGGCATATTCCAATTATAACTTAATATATTAGTTTTATTTTGTTAATGCTCTGTATTTCTAGGCTATATATGCTGAATATCTCATGCGTGTTTTCTCTTTTTTATTAGCTAAAGATCACTTCTTTGACCCAATACATTTTTGCACGTGCAAAACAGTTATGTGTGGAACTCTGTGTTTTTGTTTTGTTTTTAAATCAACAGCCCTTTCCATGCACCCCTTTGCAAGAGAGACCCATGCCAGGTTGGGTAATTATTATAATATTTGACATTTTATGTACAGTATTGCTTTCTTGATTCCTGCTTTTCTACTGCTCTGTTCTACAAAGCATTTTAAATACTATAATCACCACACAGTTAATAAAACAAGTAGGGGCCCTCTGGGGTTTCTGCAAGCTAGTGTGGGAGAATTCTAAATGGGTACACATTTCTTTGCAAAAACTGGTTCTCTTATGAAACAAGTAGTCCAAGGAAGTGCCAGACTAGATCTCTGTCTACAGGGTGGTTTATCTGCCATAGGATGTACATCTGTAGATCTATAGGGAGTTTGCAGGTAAGTGCATGACTCTGTCTGTAACACACACCCACTCACACTCACATACATATATATGTAATGGGATATATATGTATGCATGTACATATAAATATTCTTAACTCCTGTCCATACTGACCAATGTAGGGCAGTTCACTGCAGTAACACAAAGGAATAATGCTGGCCCCAAGAGCCTTAGGTAACCCAAGTGTCCATACGCATACGCTTCATAGAAGGGCTCTCCCTGTCCTCAGTGTTTGTGGGTCGGCCCAGCACAACTGGAGAATGGAAATCGCCACGTGGGTCCTCCCGGTCACTGCCGTCATAGGAGCTACTAGAGCTGCTCAGACTGTCCACAGGGGAGCGCCCCATTTCCTGCCGAGTCTGGGGCTGGGGATGGGACTGCAGAGGTTGTGGCTGTTGTTGCTGCTGCTGAAAGCCTGATGGGGTCATTCGATCCCGGGGAGGTGAAATTGGTTCTGACTTAATGTTGATGTTTTGGTTGGTATTGATGGATAAATTTGAACCCTGAGATAACTGCCCTCCAGCACTGAAAAGAGAAAGAGATGTTAGATGGCTGTGAATGCACCTGCATAATTGGAATGTTATTACAGACACTGCCTGACTGAAAATAGCCCAGAGTCTGAGATCCTGTCAGAATTCTCAAAGAAGAAATCACCTCTCACTGTGAGGAAGGAAACACCACAGTTGAAGCCTTTATTACTAGGGTTCTATTGGTGGGCCTAGTGGTTATGAAGCTGTGCTATAATCCTGAAGACCTATAGTTCTAATCCAACCGTCAGTTGTTCTTTGGGAGAAGGATGAACTACCTCTGAAAACTTGCTGGACGGTCAGCTTTGGGTCAGTTCCAACTAGACGGTCCACAACAACAACAACAACAGCAACAACAAGACCCTACAACTCTGGTATTTGTGTAGCTGAGAGGCATCAGTGATTACTGCTGTGCACAGACTAAAAAGGGAGAGGAGCAAAGTGGCAACTTGGATTGTGATTCCTGCTCTCTTCTTTCTTTGTGTCTTCTCAGCTCTGAGCACAATGACAGAGGCACAGCGTATCACCTAGATTTACACCCCTAAGACACGGTTCTAAGGAGGACAGAAGGAGAATTGATGCCTTTGAGCTTTGGTGCTGGAGATGAGTATTGAGGGTACCATGGACTGCTAGGAAAACAAACAGATTCATCCTGGAAAGGGTCAAACAGGGCTGCTCCTTGGAGGCTAGGATTCTGAGGCTCTGTCTAACATACTTTGGACATGTTGCAAGGAGGGACCGGTCCTTGGAGAGGGACATCATGCTTGGTAGGGTGGAGGGATGGCGAAGGAGAGGAAGGCCCCCTATGAGGTGGACTGATTCAGTGATTGGGGTAATTGGGATGGGTGTATCAGAGACGGTGCGATTGGCACAAGACAGAGCAGAGTTTAGGGCTGTTGTACATAGGTTCGCTATGAGTTGCAAGCGACTCGACGGCACATAACAACAACAACAAGATGCGGTTCTACCTGTTTCCTTTCTGAAGGACAGAACGGTCACAGAAAAGCAAAGTAAACTTCTCAAAGTGGTACAGTAAGAAATGCACAGGTGCACAAGCCTCCCTCCAGCGCTGTGCCTCCAGCCATCTCTACTGCCTTTTCATTGTGTGAGCAAAGAAATTTCCTGGGAGTAATTTCCAAGTTATTAAAAATAATAAGTACCTAAAGTTATTTCTAAATGTGGGAGCAATAGGGCTCTCTGAGGACTTTCAGGGTGGGAGGTTAGGCTGTTCCTATTGCCCTGAGAGGGGGAAATAGGCACCCCACAAAAGCAAGCAGGATCTACTCTGCTGCCTCTTCTTCACAGATATTCTATGATATCTGCCCCCTACAGATCCACTACGGCCCTAGCCCTTCTGTCTGCTTGGAGATGTCTTATCCTTCCACTGATAACCCATATGCCCTGCTTTCAGGAATGCTCTCTATAGGGAGCTTTCTCGGTCCTGTGCAGAGAATGAAATGGGCTGGGGGTCAGCCATGTGAGTCCTATGCAGCCAGAGTCACTTCCTTTATCCCACGGTCCAAGAAAAAGAGCAAAAGACAGCCTATTTTCTTATTGTCCTGTACATTTACCATAAAAAAAAAAGGGAAAGGGTGATAGCTGGGCCTACATATATGTTCAAACTGCCTTTCATGGAACAGTGAAGTATTATAGACAGAGGCTGGGAGGCAGAGATGCGGTACATGGGTGGTGTCTGTGCCTTAGCACTCCTCTAGATCTTAACAGGATTTTTGTGTTGCTATGTTCATATAAAAAGGCTTTGCTCCCTGAATCCCTGACTACTTTTCCCAGTATCCCAGCTATTACCCAGAGACATGTAAAGAAAGCATTTTCTCCCAAACACTTGTGTCTAACTAAAAAAAGAATTCAAGAGAATAAAAGACTGTTTAAAAAAGTGTGGCATACTGGTAGTAACCTGGAGAAGATTTTCTAGTTACTCACACAAGAGAGCTGAGGGCTGCTTGTCCTAAATGGTGTTGCTGCCAGGCTGACACCTGTCCCAAAGACAGCATTCCTGGGGAACTGAAACCCTGCAGGGCTGAGAGGTCTGCATTAGTCAGGGAATAATCTGAAAAAGAGAAGAAAATATTGCTGTTGTGTACAATGAAAAGATAAAAGACACTCATGTTATCCTACAAAGTACCATGCAAAACATTTTTTTTTATTAATTTTTTTGTGTGTACCGTCAAATCAGATCTGACTGGCACAGGAGGAGATTGTCCCTCCTTTTCCCGCAGAGCATCTGGTGGATTTGAACCATGTGTCTCTGGGATTGCAGTGTAGCTTCTTGCCACTAGGCCACCAGAGCTCCTTGCAAAACATTTTTTTAAAGCAGTAACCTTAAATCTCTTGGTTGAAAAAAGCCAGATGCTTTGTAACATAAAACAAGACAAAACCCCACAAAAGTCTTTCTTTTTGGTAGGTTTAAGGAATCTATCCATATTTAGTCTTTCTCTGAAATGACTTAAATCTAACAAACCCATACATGACTATACATAAATTTGGAAGATGGTATTTCTGCATTCATGTTGTTGTGTACCATCGAGTTGCCTCAACTCATAGTGTGTGTACAACAGCTCTAAAGCCTGTCCTATCCTGAACCCATCTCACTGTCTTGGACTCACCTACTCCCGTTATCCCACTTAGTTTGTCAGTCCATCTCATTTAGGTTTTTCCCCTCCTGCGCTGTCATCCCACCCTCCCAAGCATGATGTCCTCTAAAGACTGGTCCCTCCTGCCAACATGCCCAAAGAATGAGAGACAGAGTTTCAAAATCCTTGCCTCCGAGGAGAAACTTGGTTTCACCCTCTCCAAGATAGACCTGTTTGTTCTCTTAGTGGTCCATGATATGTTCAACACTTTTCTCCAGCATCACAACTATAATGCATCATTGCTCAGCACTTTGAGTGTTGTATCCCCCCCCCACCCCACCCCCGTTTTGCGCTTTAGCACTATGGATAGGTCCCTTACAGCAAAGCCATGTACGTTTCTTAATCATAACTAAATACCTTCCAGGAATGACTTGTTGGTTCTGGGTTCTTGAAGGTACTGACTCTGGGTCTGGGGAGTGAGGTCCATAAAGGACAGATGGTAAAGTCCACAAAGAAAACATTCTACTTTGTTGAGAACTGATTGGTATTTTTAAAGCTTGTGAGCAAGGCATCTAAGTTCTCTTCTGGTTCAGAACAAAAAAGAAGGAAGAAAAGTAAAGATTCATAGAACTAATTAGACCACTGGGCTAAGGGGCCTTAAGAACCTCAACTTTCACAACCCTGAGACCAGAAGATTTAAGTAGTGCTCAGTGCCATGACACAGCTCTCAAAGGGAATACAGTAGAAGATCCTGTATAGGATCTTGTAGAACTAAAATAAAACCAACCAAAACCCAAAAAGCCAAACTAAATCCAAACATAAAAAGGCCATGCTTATTAGTCTGACAGAGCCTGGTGGGACAGACACAACTATGGCATTTAGTCATCATTCAAACCTGGAACTACACTTATCCCTGAGGCTCAACAGTTGAGCCCCAGGGATATGTGTACAAGGTGATCAATGACATGGAGCAGCAGTCTACTCTGAACAATCAACAAACTAAGTCCAAACAGCAGCATTTGTCCACAGATAATGCCCAAGAGGCAGGAAGAGAGAGGACAGAAAGCTAATGGAAATTGTAATTAGAGGGAAGAAGTGGGAAAAGTTTAACATGCTGAGGTACTGTAATTAATGTTAGAAAACAATGTTATGAATGATTGAATAAAAAAACAAATTCGGTTTATAAACTTTCACGTAAACAGCAATTTAAAAATTGGGCAAACCTAAAAATAAATTTAATTTGGGGTACTGCTTCACAAAGATTGGGAATGTTCGTATACCACCATTTTAAATAACTATGCCCATGACTCCCTTACTGAACAAAGCGAAACATAATCTGGGGCTGGCTCAGATTGAATCTAGATCAGGAAGAGTTAAATTCTTGAAGTACAAGAAGAACCAGAAAGGTACAGTATCTCTCTTTATGAAGTATCAAGCTTAGTGACATTAACATTAAATTCATTATCACACAAATAGTTAACTGTATTTGTTTTAAATACGGGTACTGTCACAGTTCCTTGATTGACCCCAAAATTATTTCAAGTTCTGTAGAAGTGGTATAAGCACATAATACTGTTCACTTTTTAAACATAAACTCTCCAGTTATACTCACTTTGACCAAACTTTAAGACCTCAGTTATTCACATGTCAACTAATTTTACCTTTTCATTAACATCTTTTTTCAATTTTGTTCTGAAGAGAAGTGATAAAAATCTTCCACTTTGTTTCAAGAGGTGCTAAGAGAAGTTTGTTGTTGTTGTTGTTTAATGCCGTCGAGTCGTAGACGACTCATAGCAACCCTATGAACGAACAGCCTGAGCACTGTTCGTACATAGAGTTTCCGGAGGCGAGCTGAAATACCATCCATGATTGGTACTGGGGATTCTGTCTGACTGTATAGTTTCCTCATTTTTAAACAGTCCCAGATGGCTTCCACTTTGCTCGTGGAGTCTGAAGATCGGAAAGAACACTGTCTTGCCTCTTAAAGCACTTCCTCTATTCCAGAGGTCTTTACATCTAGAAACTCTATGAACTTGGCGATAGTTATAGACAGGCTTCAGGCCTTTTGTTCATGGGGTCACTATTAGTTGTGCTCGACTCGACGGCAATCAACAACACAACAACAAATGAAAAAATAAGGTAGGAGACATTACTCTCCAAGACAGTAAGGTATACGACAGACATGTAGATAAATGGAATAGAATCAAGAACCAAGAAATCAACCTATGGTCAAGTGATTTTTGACAAGGAGATAAAATCAACAGAGTAGGGAATGACATCCTCTTTAACAAATGGTATTGGCAAAATCAGACATCAATCTGCAGAAAACCGACAAAAGCTGAAGCAAGATTTACATCTAACACCATACACAAAAACCAACTTAAGGTGGATCAGGGACATAAGAGTAAAATCAGACTATAAAAATCATCAGAGGAAAAAAATAGGAACACATCTATGAACCCTAATCTACGGCACGCATAGATATTTAAGCATAACCAAAATCCTATCATCATGAGAGGATAAAATAGATGAATGAGACTTCTTAAAAATAAAATCCTTGCATGCATCAGAAAACTTCTCCAAAGGAGTAAAAAGGAACTGCACAGACTGGGGGGAAAATTGGCAATGATTTATCTGGTAAGGGACTCTTATCTAAAATTTAAACAACACTCTAACACTTGAATAAGAAAAAGATAACCCAATCACAAAACAGGCAGAAGGTACAAATAGATGTTTTACCAAACAAGAAAAGTCAGATGTCCAACAAACACAAGAAGTAATGCTGAAAATTACTAGCTGTTAGAGAGATGCAATCAAAACAATGAGAGATCATCTCATCTCAGCAACAACAGCAAAGTTCAACAGGACCAAAGAAAACAAATACTGGTGAAAATGCAGAAAGAATGGAACTCTCATACACTGCTGGCGGGAATGTAAAATGGTATAACCACTATTTTTTTTTTTTATAACCACTATTGCTTCCTTAAAAAGGTGGACAGAGATGTACCATTTGACTCTGCTAACCTCTACTAGGAATTTACACTAAAGAAACCAGAAATGTGACATAAACAGATGCACATAAACTCATGTTTACATTATTTACAATATTTTACAATTATTTGTTGTTGTTATTATGTGCCGTCAAGTCGCTTGCAACTCACAGTGACCCTATGTACAACAGCCCTAAACTCTGCTCTGTCCTGTGCCAATCTCACTGTCTCTGATACACCCATCTCGATTATCCCAGTCACTGAATCAATCCACCTCATAGAGGGCCTTCCCCTCCTGTGCCTGCCCTCCACCCTCCCAAGCATGATGACCCTCTCCAAGGATCGGTCTCTCCTTACAACATGACCAAAGTATGTCAGATGAAGCCTCGGAATCCTTGCCTCCAAAAAGCAGCCCGGTTTAACCCTCTCCAAGATGAATTTGTTTTCTCAGCAGTCCATGGTGCCCTCAATACTCTTCTCCAGCACCACAGCTCAAAGGCATCAATTCTCCTTCTATCCTCTCTTATTTATTATTTATAACAACAAAGAGCTAGAAGCAGCTCAAGTGCCAATCAACAGATGAATGGACCAAGAAAACTGTGGTACATTCAGACAATGGAATATTATGCAGCATTCAAAAACAATGAACTCGTAAAACACTACGAACTATGGAAGAGCCTAAAAGACATTAAAGTGAGTGAAATATCTCAGTCATAAAAGGACAAACACTGAATAAAACCACTATGATAAATTTTATCACAAAATTATGGGGGAAGGGTAGTGGGGAGAGCAGGAAAAAAATGGCTAGATAATGAACACTGCACTGGAATTGGTGAAGGGGAAGTCAGTCTGAAAGAAATGGATGATTAGATACTATGTGGATGGTAATTAACAATCTTGAACAGGACATGCATACAGACTGAACTGGAGGGAAGGGAGGAAAATAAGTATGAACGAATGAATGGAAAGAAAGAAAAACAACTTTCACTAAAATCACAAAGAAGCAAAATTAAAATTACTTTTATCACTGTCTATTTTTGAGAATCATAAAGATTGTATTCCTAGAATAAATTCTGTGTATCAAAGACTCAATGATGGACAATGTATAGCTATTTCATTTTCCCTGTGGCATTGAATATTTGGTTCCGCTAAACAAATGTGGTTTTCTGCCATTCCTTAGAGTGCTGAAGTAAAAGGAAACTCCTTGAGCACCAGTTTTCTACAGAGCCCACTTGCTGATGGCATCCCTCTAGCCACTGCCTTATGCTTAGAGTTCCCTAATCTCTTCTCCTCACAGTTAGTTAAGACTAAACATCTAAATATAAAGGGTGAAGAGTGATTGGTTCTGAGGAAGATTGGCTAAAGTCTTGTTTATTCTTTAGGTACAAAGTAAACTACTAATGACATGAAGGAAAATAATCTACTGCTCTACCTCTATCGCATATCTAAATCCTGAAGTCCAAAAGGATTTCTGTTCTTTCCCAAAGTAGATTAACACTGAATAAAGAAAAACATTCTATTAAAAAAAAAAACCAAACTGGAGGAGTGAAATACTGTGTGACTGAGCGATAATCTATTAGCTACCTTCGTGTGATGTATACCACGATTTTGTCAACACTGTTTTCTTGTCAGAGTTGTTAATATAGGTTTTGATAAAAGTATGCAACTGTGGTGTTGAAGAGGAATACAGAACATCACATGAATGACCAAAAAAACAAAGAAGTCAGTCTTAGAGGAAGAGCAGTCAGGATGCTCTTCAGAGGCGAGGCTGGTGAAACTTCATCTCCTATACTATGAGCATACTGTCAGGAGGAGCTGGTCTTTGAAAAAAGACACGGGGAGAAAAGGTCAGAGAAAGAGGGGGAAACCTTCAATAAGATGAATTGACAACAGTGACTTTAACAATGTGCTGGAGGATGATGAAGATTGTGAGAAGTACAGGACAAGGCACGACTCTCATGTGCTGTTCCTACAGTTACTATGAATTATTATAGGTCAACTTGATGGTACACAAAATGTTTGTTATCTGAGAAACAAGTTATTCATTTCAATATACTTTAAAAAAATTACGAATGGACATACTGATGACAAAGAGAAACAAAATTCATGAAAGACATATATAGAGCAGGCTTACCAGTATTGTAAGCAGTAGGCATTGCTGAGTATACAAGTCCCTGTGGAGGCAAGCTTGGGGTTGTCACAGACACTACTGGAGTAGCAAGAGGTTGAGTGGCTTGAGAACTGTTTATTCTCTGGGTATTCTGTGAGAGATCAGAAAATGAAAAGGCGGTATTAGGTGGTACTTTTAGATTTAGAAACTTAAAAATATTATTTTGATTTTAAAATGATAGTTTTCCGTTTTATAATGTGAATGTCCTATTTCCTGCAGAATAATGATATAAAAATCTTAAATAACAAAAACATTAAATGGGACATATTTATATTAATTATCACTTTCCTTTATCTACCCTCCACTTCTTGGTTTTGTTCCCCCCCCCCCCGCAGTTTTATATCAGTGTCCTAAACCTCCCTTTAAAACAGAAGCTTGTATTATCATCTCAAGCACTTTTATGTTACCTACTGAGAACTGGTTGGCATTACAGATCCTAGGTCACCCTCAATTAAAGATATTTTTCAATATGTGATGTTAGCAAAGAACATCTGTATATGTGGTATTCCAATTCCATGAGCATGGTTCTCAAATTATGTTTAATGCAACATTTACATGACATAATTGTAAAGTCATGGTTTCCAGAAATTTTCCTTATATTCTTTAATGCCTTCTCTCCAATCTTGACTTTAAAACCAAAACAAAACAACCAAACCCCAACCCAGTCACTTCAAATATGTCTCCCCTGCATACTCCCAGTTCTTTTGTAAACAAAGGTGTTGAGAGAGTTTTTACAGAAAATCCTTTTGAGTAGGTTTATAAAATGAAGCAATAATAAATGCTTGCAAATTGTTGGAAATAAACTAGTAAACAACTCAATTGTAAAACAATCAGTTTGCTAGTGACTGTCCTCTGTGTGTAAGGGTGTTACTGGCTTAAAATACTTCAAAACTGAGGCTCAAAGAAAGAGAACAGACAACCACCAAGAAGGTCAAAGCATGAGTCCATGGTTATTTTTTTCCTAAATAAAGTTACAGTTTGTAACTGACAGTTGAGAGCCTAAGCAGAATCAAGAAAAGTCCAATTCTGTACCCCTGAGATTTCTTACCAAAGTTAGAATATGACTAGCTTCTTTATCATCACTTTTGGAAGGGAATGTCAGATAAAAGCACTTTTTAGATCTAGATACCTAAATGACCGATAACTTTACCAAGTATTCAGGTTACAGTTTATTTCTTAGTCTGTATTTTCTCTGCAGTCTACATTAGCTGATGTTAGACAGCGAAGTGAATAGACAGTGTGCCTGGGTTTCTGCCTGACCTCTTCTTCTCATCCTGGTACAGTAGGGAAGACAGTGATTCTTCTCTTGTTTGTGTTGCAGTACTATTGAGAGATTCAAATAAGGTACTGTATTTGCAAGTGATTTTGTAAGATATGCAAAGAAATAAACAACTCCTACACTCACTGCTGGCAAGTGAATTCTGACTTCACAGTAACCCTCCAGAATGGAGCAGAACTAGAACTGACTCAGAAGGTCAGGTCACCCAGGCTGTGAACCTTTATGAAAGCAGGGTACCTCATCTTTCTCCCAATACTTAACTCGCTGTACCACCATGGCTCTTTGGTAATTGAAGTACCAAACAAATTTTATATCAAATCCATAAAATTATTATCCTATGAAATCCTCTGCTCCAAGAATTCTATAAAAGGGAATTAAAAGAGCAAATATATTTGTCCTTTCTCATTCATAGCTAGTCCATAGGCACTGTTAGAAAGTAACAGGTTCTAGAAGTTTAACACTGCTAACAGAACCTGAAGGAGCTCTGGTAGCCTAGAGGTAAGGTGCTGTACTGCCAATCCAAAAATACTAGTTCAAATTCACCAGCTGCCTCACTGAAGAAAGATGGGCAATCCCTTCTTGTGCCTCAGAAAACCCAATGGAAGGTGAGCTATGAGCTGGTTCTGACTCAATGGTACATAACAACAATGGAATCAGAAACTTGGTTGTGTTTTGTTTTTTTTTAAAATTTTAATGAAAGATTATAGAGAACTTGGATTTCCATTAATTCACTGTTGCACATTTTTCTCCCTGCCCACCACTCCCCCTAGTTCGCTTTTCTCTTTGAACAGGAAAAAAAAAAATCTTCCATTGTTATACAAATCCCCCTGTCTACTTTACTATGTAGCTCTTATTCTGAACTCTTGTCATGCAAATAATACCTAATCATATATCCCTTTAAACATTTCTCTCCCTCCTCTGTTTCAATGCAGGGTACATTGTTTATCCCCTCTTTTCTTAGTTGCCCCCCAAACCCATTATCAGTCCTGTTTGATAACAGTGGTATTATGCAGCATTTGTCCTTTTGTGACTGGGATATTTAATAACATAAGGTCTCCAGGGTCACCCATTTTGTATAATATTTTATGAGTTCCTTTGTTTCTCAATGCAGCATAATATTCCACTGTGAATATACCACAGCTACTCTAGCCATTCATTTGTTGACGGGCACTTGGGTTGTTTGCAACTCTTTGTTATTGTGAACAAAACAAATAAACAAGGTTGTGCATATATCTGCTTGGGTGGCAGTTCTGGTTTCTTTAGGGTATATTCCCAGTAGTGGAATTGCTGGGCCATATGGTATTTCTATTTACAACTTTTTGAGAAAGTGCCATACTGCCTTCCAGAGTGGTTGCATTATTTTACATTCTTACCAACTGTGAATAAGGGTTCTAGTTTCTCCACAATCTCACCAGCATTTATTGTTTGCTGCTCTGTTGAATTTTGCAATTCTTAATGGAGTGAGATGATATCTCATAGTTGTTTTGATTTGCATCTCTCACAGAGCTAGGGATTTTGAACACTTCTTCATGTGCTTGTTGGCCATCTGAATGTCTTCTTTGAAGTGTCTGTTCATATCCTGTGCCAATTTTGCAACTGAGTTACCTTTATCTTGTGGTGCTTGAGAGTATTCTATACATTATAGATTTAAGTCCCTTATCAGACATGTCATTACCAAATATTTTTTCTGAGTCTGTGGCTTTCCTTTTTACCTTACGGTAAAAGTTTTTGATGTGCACAGGGATTAGATTCTTTGAAGGTCCCATTCATCTATTTTATCCTCTCCTGTTATATGTAGGTTTTTCAGGATGCTTGGAAGACTATTCATGTTGTGGATTAGGGCATCTAAAGTTCTTTCAGGCTTTACCCTAAGAAGTTTATAGTCCTTGATTTTAGTCCTAGGTCCTTGATACACTTTGAGCTGGTTTTTGTGTATGGTGCGAGGAGTGGATCTTGCTTGAGTTTTCTGCAGATAGTTTTCCAATTTTGCCAATATCATTTGTTTAAAAGGCTGCTGTTTGATTTCTGGGTTCTCAATTCTATTCCATTGATCAATGTGTCTGTCATTGTACCAGTACCATGCTGTCTTGACTACGACGGCAGTGTAGTAGGATTTGAAATCAGGGAGTGAGATGCCTCCTACCTTGTTTCTCTTATAAAGGAGTGCTTTGCTTCTTCGGAGACTCTTTCCATTCTAAATAAAATTGGAGATGGCCTTTTCCATCTCACTGAAGAATGGAATTGGTATTTGTATTGGAATTGCACTGAATGTGTAAACTGCCTTTGGTAGAACTGTCATTTTCATGATATTGAATCTTCCTATCCATGAGCAAGGAATATTCTTCCATTTCTCCAGGTCTCTTTTTGTTTCTTGTAGTAATGTTTTATAATTTTATTGTGTTATAGGTTAGATTTCTTCTCAAGTATTTAATCTTGTGATTAGCTATTGTGATGGGCATTATTTTTTTTTTAAATCCAGTTCTGTGTTCTTTTTGTCACTGTAGAGAAATAAAATTGATTTTGTATGTTGATCTTGTATCCTAACACTTTGCTGAACTGGTCAACTATGTCCACTAGTTTTCTTGCTGAGTCTTTAGGATCTTCTAAATATACTATCATATCATCTGCATATAATTTTACCTCCTCTTTACCAATTTGGGTACCTCTTTATTTCCTTCTCGTCTTATTGCTATCGCTATGACTTCCAATACAGTATTGAATAGGAGAGGTGATATGGGCATCTTTGCCTAGTTCCTGTTCTCAAAGGGAATGCCTTTACTCTCTCTCCATTGAAAACAATGTTGGCTGTTTGGGTATGCGTATATACTTTTTACTATGTTGAGGAAATTCCCTTCTACTCCTATTTTGTTGAGTGTTTTAATCAGGAAAGGGTGTTAAATTTTGTCTAAGACCTTTTCTGCATCAACTGATACGATCATGTATTTCTTGTTCTTTGCTTTGTTAATGTGATGAATTACACTGATTGTCTTTCTTATGTTGAACCACCCTTGCATACCTGTTATGAATCCCATCTGGTCATAGCGAATTGTTTTTTTTGATGTATCGTTGGATTCTATTGGCCGGGATTTTTGCACCTATGTTCATGAGCCTCTGGGTCACATTTACCTGTGGGGTGGGGGTTGCTGAAGTCCCCATATGCTGGCCCCTCTCTTCCCTTCTGAAAATTCCTATTCTGCATCTTCTGCGTGTGCCCAACAGTTTCTGGTGCCGTCTTGACCTGTCAGGCCTCTGAGTCGCATGTTCCTGAGAGATACCGGTCTTTAGTTTTCTTTTTTTTGGTGGTGTCTTTACCTGGCTTTGGTTTCAAAGGATATGTTTGCTTCATAGAATGAGTCTGGGAGAATTCCACCTTTTTCTATTTTCTGAAATAGTTTAGGTAGAATTGGTGACAGTTCTTCTCTGAATGTTTGATAAAATTAACTTGTAAAACCATCTGGTCCAGGGCTTTTTTGGGGCTGGAAGTTGTTTTATTACCTTTTCAATTTCTTCTTTAATTGGTCTGTTCAGGTGTTCAATTTCAGTTTGTGTCAGTTTAGGCAGGTTGGGAATTTCTAAGTATCTGTCCATTTCCTCGAGGTATTCATATTTGTTATAGTTTTTTTAAATAATATTCCATTGTTAGCCTTTTTATTTTGGTTGGTTCTGTTGTGGCATTGCCCATTTCATCTTTTATTTGGTTGTGTCTTTTTCCTTCTTCTCGTTTGTTAGTTTTGCAGGCAGTTTGTTGATTTTATTGACCTTTTGAAGAACCAACTCCTCGTTTTGTTGATGGTTTCAATTGTTTTTCTGTT